GATTAGGCAAGAGCTGCCACGATATATAGCCTAGGTGAGAAAGTGCGAGAAAAAATCAAATATTGGGGCCCCACCTGACCGATTCGCACAGCCCCTGAGATGATAATGTAGTTATGCCATGGAGTTGCACACCTGCTGAAACACCAACTGCTGGATCGCAGTCACCACACATTGGTCCTGGCACCGTCAACAGAATCCTGACACGAGACCAGTGCAGCTTTAGAGATGGAAAATAATGAAATAACTGAAGGGGAGCTAGTGAAGCAAGTAAGCAGCAAGGGAGAGACTAAGTCAGAAATCTTCTTTTTCTGACCACAAGTCATCCAGTCAAGTAAATAGGGACAATCTGGAAGTGGATGTTCAATACAAACAAGATGAAATATAACCTATGCTTAAAATCGAATCACAAACCAGAATACTGTTAATTAATGTAATTTCTGGGGATAAATCGTTACATACCTACCAGAGATATGATAAAAGGTTTGGCTAATTATAAGTTATGACAACACACACACGTAATAAATTACAACTGTTTACTGTTTTCAACTACCGCAACTGTCGCGTGCCGTCATCTTGGAAGCAATTTCTAGCGTTTATGGGCCACCTTGTAAAACTTCCAGCGCGGTCAGCAGCCCGGATTGAGCGAGCGATGCACGCTTTGCGGCGGTCATTTATTCCGTTGGATTCCTGCTGTCACACGCCTGAGGTACCATGCTGGGAGCTAATGGGGTTACACGAGGCTTGTGCCTTCCATTCATAAGGAGAGGCACATCCGCTTTTGAGAGGCAGCGGAGAGGGCGCGCGGCATTTCGGGGCGTAACGGTGCATAGATCCATCGGTTAATGTCCACTCTAAAGGCCATAACATCTGCATCACACTGTATGTTTAAGAAACGATGTTCTGTATGATGATTTCACGTGACACTCTAGCCATTAGTGCCAGATAAAATCGACACAATGTAAAAAAAATAATCGATTTGAGTCGAATTGTGACTGAATCATAACATTTCATTCGGGGAGAGGAGGGTGAACTTAGACCCTCTCCTAATGGCACCTGCAGACCGATTTAAATAAACTGGTGAACTGTATGTATGTTGAACTTCTTTCGCACCGTACGTAGCCAACCGTGCTAATCGGAGGTGCACGGATTGCCACAGCATGTTCAGCTTCGTTAAAAAACTACGCTATTTCTCAGCTGCGAATTTCCAATGTTTTTTTTGTCAAGTTTAAGCGTTAACTTAACAAAGCAACACGAACATAATTCCCTTTAATACAAAAAAACTTAAATCACATTGACTCAACGTGCCGATCAAGAACTCCGTCCTGATTTTTGTAACTTTACCTTGAAGAGGTTTTATTTGTGTTGCTGTCATCACTGAGCTATCCGGGGCCCAGTGATGGATGTGTGCCTCCCCCATATTACCCTGTGGTAAATGCGATCCATCCCTCTCCTACACATGCAGTGACCTTGTCACTCCACATACCCTTTGGGCATCCCCCCCACACAAAGTGTTCCTTGTACTCACCGCCATTCCGCTATTAAAGTTGTTGTTTGAGGGCCACCCCAACTATGCTCGTGTTAAACTCTAATCCACTCATTCATAATAAATGTATATATATTTTTAGGGGGTGAGATCGCGCTAATACAAACGTGTAGTTACCCGCCACCACACGACAGCCAATTAGTGAGGTTTGTCACGTAAACAAAGCGTGACAATTAGTTACTACTTCAGCACACCGGTGTGTTGGAAAGTAAACCCACAACATTAACAATTTGAGTACAACATTTTGCTGATGATTACAACCAGCTTCATCAGGCGATTTGCCATAATTGTGAAGAAGTCTTCCTGTTTCGGTCTTCAATAGAGTGAAGGTGATGGCATCAATGAGCCTTTCAGGTCCCCTTGTTATTCAATGCAGTGTTATGTACTGACGCAAGTGCATTTTAGTCTGTCGACTAAACTAAAAATTACATCAAGTCCGCAATTTGCTGCCATTTTCTGCAATTGCTTTTTCGTGTCAGGATTACTGCATGAAAAAAACATTCAGAAGACATTCACGTGTGTGCAGAATCGCGTCCACAAGAATTGCTTAAACGAAGGGCGTTAAAAAGTCGCCCATCTTCAGTAGAGCGTGACAGCCAGCTAGCTCCACATTGTCAGGTTGCTTTGGCCTGGGGGGGGAAGAAAGCATCTAAGGTTATGTCTCTGTCCTATTTTAACACTAGTGTAGCAGCACATTGCTGAAACACACCGGTCTCACTCACCTCCCCTGGCATTTTAATGTCAGTTTAAAGGCTTGTAAAACAAACGATCAAATGCAATCAAAAGACGTGCGCATTTACAATTTTCACCCTGGCAAACTGGAAGGGCCGTTGGTTGTTCTGTGCCTTCTCGCAAAAAGAAAGGTCATCTGCTACCGTACAGGCATCCTCCGTGGCACGTGGAATGGTGCCGTTTTTCTCAGCTTTCGGTAAACAGGCGTACAACATGCGTCATGCGCTCAGCCTCGAGATAATCGCCTTTTTTTTTCTTCCCGGCGAGCGATGCCACTCGGGTGCGGCACGAGTGGCATGAAAAATCATTTCGCCAGCATGGCTAATGTGGCAGGACACAAGCGCAGAGGAGTAGGCGGGCAGCTGCTCGCTAATGGGAGGACGTGGTGAGTTCCGCTGCAGAGCGATGTTCCCAGCGCACACTCTGCAGGGCTGGCAGTGCCAAGCCCGGCAGCTGTACTCCGGGGAGGGGTGGCGGAGATGCTTGGGAAAAAGGACACAAAGTATTCCCCACTTCCCAGCCTGAAACACGACACCCACCCTGGCTGGAGGGGGTGGGGGAGAGATCCTCACTTACCCAGGAGATGGGCAGACGTCACGTACAGTGCAACATCTATGCAAACATGTCCGCGAATTCATATTCTTTGGGTCTTTCAGTAAAGCCACGTAGATAGAAGAAATAATAAAAATAATAACAATATCACGACGTTTCGATCGCAACACAAGCAATCGTCATCAGGTGAAAAAAAATATAGCGGGAGAGCTGCTGAGAATATATGTCGAATGTATGAGAGCATCTCCCTCGTGCCTTCTGCCCTAGATAAGTTACTGCGATTGCCTCTACGTATGTGTACAATCCTGCACATGCAAGTGAATGTGATGTGTTTGTATTGCATAAATGTGTGCATTTAAGAGCTGGGTAATGTCCCCCATAGGGATGGATGTTAGGCTTGTGTAAATGCAGGTGTTTGTACAATAACGGGCCTGGGGGAGCGTGTCTATTTTCCCCTAAAACCACCCAGTTGGATACACATGGTTATAATATGTATTTGCACAAGTGAATGTGTTTGCTTACATCAATTTATCATGGCCTGTTGGTGTCACCATACATTTGCACGTTACGATATCACTGTCGTGCATCGCAAATCAGTAACGGTATCATGGAACGATACGATGGCAGGCACACGCGGTGAAAGTGACCACAGACGGCTACATTTGAATGCCGTCGTTTTGATTTAATGCGGTCATAAGCTGCGCTGCGCTTATGACCGCGTAACGTTATTGCAACTTTCAGCGCAAGTTAATAATCGGGTTTCGCTGCGGCTTTCCGCGCGTTCTTCGGCAGGCGGTTAGCGGCGCGTCCTTTGGTTTCAGGCGATATTCCGCGCGCATTCTCGTGGACGTTTAAAACAAACACGCGGCGTGCAAGCTCTTACAAGACTAATGTCAGCAGCCTCAGGACGAATCAATTTCTGCGAGTAAAGTGGAGGAGTCAAAAAGGTTAAATTGATTCCAGGTCGTGACACTGCCCTCAACCTGTTGTGTTTACTTGGAGGAGCACTGGGAACGATGCCTGCTGCATGTTAGCGTTTTGGCAAATTAACTAATCCAGACAACTATGTATAACGAATGAATGTCCCCACAACTCATTAAGAATGCATATAAATATTTTCTTTGCAAAGTGTTTACATTTTTGCGTTGAGCTGTTGCGGCAAGGGTGCAGGACAGTAAAACACACCAAAGCATTTGCATTGCAATGCCTTGTAGCACCGTTTAATGATGGATGCAGCGGCTGTTTTGAGACACCCTTACTCTAAGCGGTAGTGCATGCATGTTGAAGTTCTTTCGCATCGTACTTTGCAAACCATGCAGGTGCGGAAGGGGGGGGAAGGACAGCAAACTGCTCTTGGACAAGCACGGTTACGATTCACCCGGCCCAAAAAACGTAAACGCACGTGTTCACGTTCTCGATTATCCGCAGCGCTGTGAACATCGACATCGTGACGCTAAGAGCGGTACCAGGTGGCGTGGGTGTGCACGCGTGTGCGCGCACGTGACGGCGTACAGAGGGAGACAAATAAATATATAAACGGATAAAATTCACCAATGCAGAGAGCAGATGTCTGCATCAATGCACAGAGGAGGGTGGTGTAAATGCTCAACTCATGCGTGCGACGGTGCAGGAATGCGTTGTAAAACGGTAACAGTCCCACGAACAAACCGATTGTACAAATTGTCTGTAGGCATGTTCTTGTAGACTTAACAAAGTTGAAAAATATTCATATTTAAAATAAAAGTGATCAAAATGTGGGTGTGCAGGAAGCCTAAACGCATTCCCAGAAGCTCCATGCAAGAGCACTCATGATCAGCTTAATCTGTGACTACGTACCTAAGCAAAAAAAATACCAACATGTTATAGTATTAAAGTACAGGTCTTTATCAGTCCACTGCTGGATGAAGTCTTCTCCATGCCTTTCAATCATGGGGGCTGTTTGACCATACTTGACTACACACGTCCGTGCGGGTTAGTGAAGCCAAGGTTAGATATCACTCGCCAATTGTATTCGTCGTCGCTGGGACTCAAACTCAGGTCGCCGAGTTCATAGTGCAGTGCGATAACCACTACGCCACAGCTCCAGCTTTAATCAAAATTATGTTGAAAATTACCAAATGGAAGGGCATCTATTTCAGAAAGCAAGGGTCAACACAGCAGCAGTGACACATACTTGTGATGGAGTTGAGAACTTCCTTGAGCTGGCAGAAGCTCCCAAGCAGTGGGTCCTGCTCATCATCCTGCCATAAAAACACACACAACACACAACGGTGTTAAGACAACTGTGGAATGAGAAAAGATGTCCAACCTATTTCTGCGTATACTCAAGACTCTATGACCGTATTCTCCCAAAAAACAAAAATTTCCCATCCTGTATTACGTCGATAACAACATCTCTGGGTCATCAGGATGATAAATTGACAAGAACCTATCGAGTATTTCTGAATGAGCACAAGGGAAATCCTGCATGGTAATATGTTCAACCCATTCTGCAAAGCTCTGCCTTTTCGATGGCAGTGTCGGGAATAATCCTCCACTTCAGTCCACCTCATTTTTTTATTCTCGGATGCGGTACGTGGTCAGGAATGGCCTTAATTAAAGCTCAGCCCAATGGAAAACACCGGAACAAAAGCTGGTGTCAAAAGGGCATTGGGTTAAGATCCATGGCTCAACTTAAGTGAGTTTATACCTTCTAAGCAGTAGTGCAGAAATGATCGCAGTGATACACTATAAGACACTTGTCAACTCAATTGTAATTTCATTTCACAGGAATGCTTTTACATTATATCCTCTTATTAATACTTCGCGAAAGCAAAAAACTGCCTTTCCGTCAAAATAAAAACGTGTTTCACTGCATGTATTTACGAGTGACTTACCACTTTGCAAGCCAGTGCATATTGTTGCTCATTTAAACATATATAGATTAAATTAATATTACACCATTGTCTTCCATTACCAAGCTATTATTCCCATAGTCAGAGGTTGCATAATCAGTGTGTGAAGTCACCAATGAGCTCTTAATGACTCTGGATTTCAAGGTCATATCCATGCCCTGTTTTGTAACTTGCTACTGGTGTCCCAGCCAAAAGAAATGGGATTTTCAAGGACTATTCAGAACGTAGGAAGGCCTGAGAGCTCAGTGCAGCCTGCACTGAAAGGAAGGAAGAATATTAACATCTGGAGAACTGAGCCAAGCAGACGGGGGGGAACAGATGCGGCCTTTATCTCAAAGTTTGCTCAGAGTATTAACTGGCACTTTCCCATTTCAGATGCACTCATGATGCATGCAACCAGGCTGCACCAAGCTTTGCTAGCTTCTAAAGCTGAGCCCGCTGTTTGCCATGAGATGGTGAGGCATGAGGAGGATTCTGATTCGTTACAAAGGGATTCAATAAACATGCCCAGCTTTTCAAGTTTAAGGAATTCCTGCCGCGGCAAAGGCTGCCATAAATATCTCAGCACGCCACCTAGAATGCACAGGCTCGACATTAACTGCCATTTGGTGGAATTTAGACATATTAAACATACTTCTGATAACAAACTAAAAGCACTTCTTAAAGGTTTCTTTGCACCATAAAAATCAGAGCTGAAATTTATATGACATATGTTTTGACTTTGTACGTGCTTGAGTTTAAATGACATAACTTTTTAACAGCGCTGGTGTTGTCGTATAATTTTTGGCACAACAGGCATGCAAGTGTACATGGTATATATGAGGATAACTGCCCAGCGTCTTTATTAGCAAAGTAGTTTACAAAGTGCTTACACTCTCCACATGGCCCCAATTATTCCCTCGAAATGCCGATTCTTGGTCATGCTTAAAAGTATCAACTATTTTTTTATGCATGCACACCTGTACATGTTTATCGTCAATCCACTGCTGGATGAGGGCCTCCCACAGGCCGTGTGGGTCACGGATTTTGCTGCACTGCCTTCTAGTGACACCGTAGCCCCCACAGGAGCGTATGACAACTGCTTTATGCATGGTGATCACCTATCCAAGCATTAGCCAGGCTCAATTTTGCCTAGTTTCTGTGTTCTGGTCATAAAATATATTCTTACACTCCCCTATGCTTGCATCAAATCTCGTGAGAATTTGATGATTTTCAATTTGTATATGTTTATGTGACTCCTGCAGCCGTTAGCGATGTTAAATTAATTAACCATACTTCTCCACGCTGGTCAGTGTGGATTGGTGAATAACTAATGATATACTCACACACAAATCTACGCATCCACAATCCGGTTTAGAGGGTGCACCATACACACATGGAGGCCAATTTCAAAATCCTGCCAATGGCAGCTTACCAAGGGGTTGTGTGTGTTCCATCGTGAACTTCTCTTTATGGCATTCACGACAGTCGTAATCTCCCCTTGAACAATGTAGATGCTCTTATCAACCATGGCCAGGGCCTGCGGAAACAAATCACCACATTAACAAACCATTTAATAAAGTGACATGCGCTTCATAACAAGTGCATTACAGTGGAGAGAACAACACTTAACGGCACTCCGCGTGCACAAGCTTTACATCAACCTTCGCTTGCGGTCACCAAACATTTGGACATTTATACAAACATTTAAAACGCATACCATTTCTGACGTCAATTTTGTGGACTGAAATGCCAATTTTGTAATTTGACAGATCCAAGAGCGTGTTATTAAATGCAATTTCATTTTTAAATAAGTGTTGATATTAAGGATTAAACTGTCATTGAAAGGTTTAATTTCGTACACATGTTGTTCAAGGAACTTACGCCGTTATATAATAATAAATGCCACACTTTCTACTGACACTGTCGTCAGCATCTTCATATGGTAGCTTTTCTTGTCATTGTTCAAGTGATTATTTGTTTTTATTAGAGAATACTGCTGTATAAACATGCCGGGCTTTTAATGCATGTGACAGCAGCATTGCTCCACTGCTAATACACGCACACACTGAATCCAAGCTTAACCACACGTCGACACAAGCTGCTACGACACAGCTGCATTCAAATTCCCACTACATCTCAAAGATCAACTAAATAATAATTCACTTGAAGAACAAACATAAGCTGGCAACCGATCCACACACAATACGGCAAACATTGACCTGCAAGGCCAATATTACATTTATAGCCTTTCAACTATGCACCAAATTATAAATCACTGAAGATGGGTGAAATATAGGAATTCTCATTTTGTCCAGGTCCCAACTTAGCTAAGGGAGGCTACCACATAAATGCACTGCACCTCCCCCATTACATGGTGATGCAAAGCTGTAATCCAGCACTTTGGTGGCAAGCGATGATGAAACACACACGCATTTATTAAACTCCCAAACCAGTTGGGCTGCATAATTGGCCAGGAGATTGTGATACAGAAAGTGAGTTTGCAAACCCATGCGTACAAATTTGTGAGTGTTATCCACTGGTATCCTTGAGTTTTCTCTAGGCACTTAAGTTTCCTTCCCACACGAAGTACTCACGAATTAAATTAGCCAAACATACCAATGCAGGACCCTCCAGAGTCCACAAACTCACCAAGACTTTTGTGGAATAAATGGCATAAGTATACTTTATCAGCTAATTTCACTCTGCCCACATTAGTCAAGCTACTCTCCCAATTTTTGACGGGCTTCCAAAATTATTAATTGCACACTTTATTTTTTTGTGGCAGTGTGTATGTATGTTTAATTTCTTTCGCACCGTACGTAGCCAACCATGCTAATCGGAGGTGCGGGAAATGCATCCCCTGCGCGTGTATGTGCATTGGATTGTGCATGCAATCATTGGTGACTAGGTTAGCACCATCACACTCAGTGCTCACAACGACTTGAGGCTGAGCAGACGTCATTTGTTTTTTTTATCAGTTCTGTACCCCTTCATAATATCACGTTCAAATAAATAACGATGCCTCATTTCGAGTCAGTGGGAACTACGGTTGTTAAGTGAGCATCCATGAATATTTTATTCACCTCACTGTTCCTATATGATTACTCACTTCAGATTAAACTCTTTAGTTACAAGACTGTTGCATTCCAGAAGATGAGAAAGTTCTAAGGCGCCAGCCATGAACCGTTATTGCACATCTTATACTGGTAGGGACGAAGTTGTAAACTGAGTGTACCAGCCTGCAATAGATTAATGTGTCCATCCTTCCGTCCGTCCGTCCGTCCCCTTTCAATACTTTAACGAAGTTAAATCTCGTGCTGTTGGGGTGTAAAAATAAAATTGTGTAAAATTCCAATGTTCCTACCAGCCCACCCTGCAGGGACCTGTTAACAGGACAATGGGTAGCGACTTGAAATGCGTAAACCTAATTTAAACACTCGCACAAGGAAACCCTGAATAAATATGTTCATGACAATAAATAAACTCAGCACATTCGATCATCAACACTGTTTTAGAACAAATCATACACAGTAGGCTGACGTTTTGGGGCAATGCCCATTTATTATCAGTGTGAGAGCACACTTTGAGATGCTTTGCCTTGTTGACTTGGCCACAAAAGCCTGCTGAAACCCAAGATACATATTATTATTATTTATTCCTATACTAGTGGGAAGCCCAATGAGATTCAGTGGTCACAAATTACCTTGGGGGGTCATGGGGATCCCATCAGCCACCCCTTCCCCCCTCCCCCACCGTTCCCCCAATGGCAAATACCTATCCACGGCATGATTTTTGAAAGGACTGCATCAAGTGCCAGACTATTGCAAATTATAGCGCGGCTAAGCAGAATCTGGAATAATAAGCTGAATTGTTGGGTCAAAAGGTGAAACGTGTTGATACTTTTAAAATGACACCTGATTCAACGATATTTCTTGAGCGGTCGAGGGGAGGCCTTCTCTGGAAACAAAAAACTTACGTACAGATTGGCCGCTTTTATAAGATATGAATTTAACTTGGCCAGCTTTAAAGAAAAAGTTAAATATGGAAACGTTCCATGAAGAAGAAAACAAATATTGTTGGAGGGAAACAGCTGGAAAAAAATCTGCATGGCTACCTATGCCCATTATTTAAGGGAGATCAGAATCAAAGATGATTAGATACAGAGGCAAGCAGGAAAGAGTGATTTTGGCCAAATAAATTCTTATAGTTTAACACGTAGGCTTTTGCGACCAATATTATTCATAATAAAGGTTTTTGGGTTAGATCGCGTTCATTTATAAATGTGTCGTAACCCTGATGATGCTGGAAGTATTTACCAGCGAAACGTCGTACTCAAACTGTAAATGTGGATTAACTCTTCAACACACCGGTGGGCTGAAGTGGTGAATTATTTGTCTTTTGTCAACGTGACACTTTTTTTGCTGATTGGCCGTGTCGGGTGGTGGAGGGTTACGACACATTTATAAATGAACGCGATCTAACCCAAAAACCTTTATTATGAATAAATTCTTATAAGTAACATTCCAATGTGCCTAAAGAAGAACTTTTAAATCAGTCCAAATATTCGATACGACATGGATTAGAAACACGGACAATGACTAAGTAGAAGAAATCTGAAAAATACACAAAGTCGTACAGAGTGATGCATGCATTTTGGATTGCGATTTAGAGAAAGAGGAACACATGGATCATAGAATCTGTACATCTGTAACCTACTGGACAATCTGTGAAAAAGAGGTTCATAGGTCATCAGTCCTCCAGTTCATATTCAAATTATAATTCTGAGAATAAATATACATTAGTCATAATATTGACTGTGAAAAAAAGTATAACAAGTGAGCTTAGTCAAAAACACATTTTACTAGAATGGATGACTGGTGGAGGAGACCAGTAATGGAATGCCAACCAAATGAAATACGGATTGCAGTATTGCAAAGCAGCAAATGATGGTTGCCACTGTGGGAGGCCTTCATCTGGCAGTGGATATAACATGGCTGAATATGAAAATGTCAATGTATTTGTAAAATACCTGTTGTCAATACAGGTAGTTGTATCGTAGATATACAAATATAAATGTTGCACACCTGCAGCTGTAAAAAATATATACATCCATTGCAAATCTTGAATGACCACGTACACATTTTCAACATGAAAATGCAATAAAGGTAAAACTTGACTATTACATTTATCTAAAGAAATTAAAGGAACCCAATACAGTAAATGGAAAGCCCGTTCAAATGTCAAAGTGCAGTATTCCATTCCTACTCTACGAAGATGTGAGTGAGTGGAGACTGAAGTGCGAGAGTTTGGAGAAATATGTTGTGGGTTAAGGCTAATGGGAAACAAAGTAGGAGGAAATCGTGAGGGGTTGAGGTAATGAAGTCCAGATGAGAGTTGTTGGGGCCAGGAATAAATGTTGGTGGATGAGCTTTAAGGCTGGAAATAATAGGTAGCAAATGAAGATGCTGGGCAGACTGGGGATGTGTCAGCAGTGTTCAATGGTGGGTCGTAGCAGGTAGTTACAATTTTGATTTATAAAGTATATCAATGCGATTGCATCTGTAGAAAATGTACAGAAACAGAATCACGTCAGAGGCAGTAGTAAGAAGGAAGGTCTGGAGCCTGAACTGGAACACGGGTGGGGGGGGGGGCGACAACGCATCGCATGAAGGTCATACCAGACTAAGAAAACCGCAAAAGAGAAAGAGCAACCAACATATAGTGGTACATACACCGTCTAAGGAATGTGATTAACATTATGACCTAATAGCATTCTGCTGTCAAATCTGTGTCAGTGAAGTGGCCATGAATGGGCATTGCTGAAAATAAAGAATCACACACGTCGTTTAAATAACTGTATATAGTATGACGTAGTAAAAGTACAAGTGTACAATTTCAGTTTTTTAGGCACATTTTTTGTCCAAAAATGTCCTCCTCCTGTGATATTTCCCAGTTTTCTTTGTTGTCAAGGGCAGTTTTCTGCAGGTCTTTCTACATCAAATCACTAGACCTCACTCCTCAATTCCACAAAGGTCAAATGGAGTCATGGGGTTACGGACAGCTATCAATATATTCCATTGGCCAAGTCTCAGCAACAATGCGGAATTACAGACAAAAAAATCAGCCACCCATCCACATGGTGAAATCAAAGAACCATGCGATTTCGGGGAGTGCTGTCATGCCACGGGAAAGAAAATGCCAACCTAATGATTCAACAAACATTAAACAGGGACCATAAAACAGATTTGCCAAAGTACTGCGAATGCATCCAGCTGTAAAGCGAATGACACCATTTGGAGTTTGCCCATGGATCTGTTGCATGAATCCAAGCCACGGAAGTTGACTCAATCATGCGGGCGAGTGATATTTTGTTGACAAGTCAAACAACAGAATAATCCAGCGACTGCTGCTGAAAACAAGAGCTACGGCTGGTAAACAATCCACCTGGTGACATTCCCCATGAATTGTTTAACATTGTGCAATGCAAAGTTCGAGCGAATATCAATGAAGGTTCATAAAACACTACGTCAGCCTTTCTATTATCACACTCTTTGTAGCCGCCTCATTCCTTTCCTTTAATTACTGTATAATATAAGTACAATCTAAATACAATGTAAGAGAGGGTTAAAACTAGACCCCGATACCTACGGTGGACTCTTTAACGTTCCAATTCTGACTTTATCCCAACTACTTGTGATCTCAAGTTAGTACGCACCGGGGGTATCTCGCTGAGTGTGTTATCATGAGCCCATGCCTCACCCCTTTACTCCCGTGTAGCCTCTTCACACTGATCCTTCACCGACAATTATGTCCATCCACCTCAACTTGTCAATCAAGAACAGAAACAACAAATAAAACGGCAAATAGTGAGTCGTCCGCCTGTATCCTCTGGCATTCCCTTCCACCCCTCCCCCACCCCCGTATCCTCACGAATTTCCTTCACTGACAGTGACCCCATGCGTTGAATGAGACCATAAATCATGTAATCTGTACTATGATCTTTATTAAAATAATCCAGCGACTGTTGCTGACACGTCAGCCCTCGTTTCATCAAGACTCCCCCCACACCCCCTCACTCCATCCAAATAAGCCTCCGCCCTCATTCCTTTCAATGACAACGACCCCGGTCACACATTAACGTCGAGTAAACCGGAATCGGTGGAAAAGTAACCAATTATACAGACTATATCGGTATCTTTAGCAGAATAAAAGTCAGAGACCCTGGGTGTCCCCCTATTACTCCCCCCCCCCCCCCACCAAACTCCCCGTCGCAGGAACCGCTTCACGTTCATCGTTCACCGTTCACCGACACCAAAGCCGCTGCGCCTGCATTTCTCACGACCCTCGAGCAAAGCGGCGGTAGATTTAAAGAAGAAACTCTCGCCGGGGTGTTTGTGTCGGAATACATTCGCTGTGGCCGCGTCTCCCGCATCGAAACCCCCACCAAACATCCGCGCCGCCTCCGGCTTTTCCTACCGGCTCCCGGTGGAGGCCTAGCGCAGGCTTCCCCCGCGAATCCCCAGGCAACGCGGAGCGGGCAATGACGAGGCCCGGAGTCGGCTCCAGTGTTTTGCTTGTATTTTTTGTTGTTGCTGTTGCAATGTTTCCCTGCGGTGAATGTCAAAGCGACGAACGGCGAGCGCGGCGCGACGGTTCAACGCGCGCGTCTCGATTCGTTTTTTTTTTTATATTTCAGGGCCTCGTTACCGCGGGTAGCGCCGGCGAAGGCCCCGCAGTTGGCGATAAACAGACGTGGAGCGCATGCGCAGTGAATACTTCCGGCCCCTCCCCTCACTGCCCAGCTACCCCCACCTCTCCTCTGCCTATTCTCAACGCTTTACCCCCCCCACAGCTCGCCCCCCTCCCCCCGCCCCCCCGATCAGCTGATCGTGGGACGCGGTGGGTGCAGAAATCTGCCACGTGGCTCGCTGAGTGACTGGTGGGAGTAGAAAATGCGCGCTGTCCGTTCAAGCCGATGATGTTAAAATGCCTCGGCTCTCGCCATACGTGGAGAGAGTTGCTGAAATTGTAATGCACAACGTTGTTGCTAAAATCGGCCTTAACGCAGTGGGGTGGGCGGGGTCTGAAACCTGCGGCTTTTTAATAAGCAGCAGACACCATAAGAACAATTCTAGATTTGAAGCTTTCGTGACTGCAAGGATCCATACTCTTTGGTTCTATTCGGTAAAGTCACGTAAAAGTATAAAACAACAAAAAATATAAATAAACAAATAAAAAACAACATAAATACATAAACAATCATTTGCTAATTTTACAATTAATGTAGCGACTGCTTCGTGACGTTATTCATCACCGGACCATCGTCTCGTATTCACCACAATGCATTGCGGCTCTTGAAATATTGAGGGGTTTTTTCATTGAATAAAAAAAATATCCTTTTGTTTTGGTTTCCAACCTCCTGGGCTAACGAGACAATAATGCGAGTTGTATTATTGTGCATGGTTACCCAGGAAATCCTCACAGAATCGTATTGTGATTATCTTAGAAGGTGCTGCAGAGTTTTGGAAGTGGGGGCCGGTGATTACTATGCTATTGAGTCGTTTACAGGCACACAATGGCCTTTACTCTTTCGAATGACGTTAGAGGAGTTTTAACAGCCATTTGTGAAGCAAGGCGGCGCGTGTTGTATATTGCAAATAAACTCGCAGTAATAACCGGGGCTGCCCCTGGAAATCGAACCGTGAATCTCTGCAACAAGCGGCAAAAGCTTGATACTGCTAAGCCATGTCACCCACCGCCCTACGAGAATGAGTAAAGTTGTTTTAAGGACTGTGTTGGGAGTTTATGTGTAATGGAATCGTGCATTGATTAATCCATTGGAAATTTAACACGATGTATGGAATTATACACGTGACGATCATTATGCATTTGTGAATTAGTTTTTTAATGTATATAATAATTATCTTGCCTGACTGCTGGATAATATTCGTGTGGAAGACCCAGGGCTTAATTTCAGCTGGGACTCAGCTATATTTCCCTGCCTGCCCTGTTAATGGGGGAGGGGCGGGATTGATCGTTTTTAGAAAAATGAACTTAATAATGTGCTATAAGAAGAATGTTTGAAACAATGTACATTTGTTTATATAACATGCATCTGAAACATTGACACTAACATCGAAAGTGGGCTTGAGCAGGACGCGTCACTCGAGGGGAAGAATTGACGGTGGTCGAGACTCACGACATGGGCAGCCAAAGGGGCGGACGTGCCCGAGAGTACGCACGCCCGCCGTCAAGAGACTCTGAAAGAGACCCAGCGACTCAATTCATAGAGACCCAGACACTTACAGAAACCCAGAGACTCACAGAGACCCAGAGACTCACATAGAGACCCAGACACTCACAGAGACTCACAGAGATCCAGAGACTCACATAGAGACCCAGATACTCACACAGAGACCCAGATACTCAGATAGAGACGCAGAGACTCGCATAGAGACCCAAAGACTCGTATAAAGCCAAAGACTCACAGAGACCCAGAGACTCACAATCAGCTCATGTGGAGGTTCAAATTAATTCTTGCATCACAATATTGTGAGAGATGGCAACGGCTTGGGGAGGACTTCATCGAGCAGTGGATAGGTCAAGGCTGATGGCGATTTCATAGCAGGAATCCAATACGCTTCCAAGACAAAGTTACCACCACCACACGGAGAGAGGGTGCTGCAGAGAAACTTATTTCAATCACTTTGAGAAAGCGGACGATGGAGTGGTCTATTTATGGCATTGGAATGAAAATTGAACAGTAAAGAGATATACATTTTGGGTAACATTAGAAATTATGAAATTGAGACGAAAAAAATGTGGATGGACAATATTAAATATCCTGATTTGCGATGGGTCTGATTTGCATTGTGCTCAGGAAGCCACTGGAGCTATGCACTATTAAATCTAGATTGAAAACTCATTTCTTTAGAACTGCGTTTTGTGTTTAGTTTGTTGTTCTTCCCCCGCACCTCCGATGAGCACGGTTGGCTATGTACGGTGCAATTTAAATTCTACAAAGATACATTGGTTGGCACGGGTTTCTGGTCCAAGGAATAAAATCGGGCCCTCTTCCAAAGAGTTCACATTCTTCGTAGCCTGACACCTGGGCCCGTCCGACTCTTCGGCCCAGTGCAGTTACACTGCCTGCACACTCAATAACTACGCCACTGACGGACACCACCTGGACTGATTCGAAGAGAAGATCCCACAATCGGAAATAATGGATTAACTAAATCGCCGCATGTTCCAGAAGGCTTATGAGCCATTAAGTTGAGTAACTCAAGGCCTAAACCCAGGGACACCATGCACACATTCCTCTGCCGGACCACAACCAGAACTCACAGAAAAAAATGTTTTAATACTCATACTCAACCGATGATAACACATGAATAACTTCTCATAAAATGGAACGTGCACTGCAATCAAGAGCATACTTCTGTCCATTTGCAGCCAAGTTCTCTCCCCAACTCCTGTATTCACTGTGGTCCCCGTCACCGACATTTTCTAGAACAGGTGGCAGGTGAAGATGCCCCTCTGGTCTGAGGAGTTCCCAATGAGTGCCAGCACATTCCAGTTACTCTATGTAAGTGTCTGAGTCTCTATGTGAGTCTCTGTGTCTCTATGGGTCTCTTTGGAAGTTTGTCAGTCTCTACGTGAGTTTATGTGTCTCTGAATTTCTAGATCTCTGTGTGAGTCTCTGGGTCTCTGCAGGTTTCTTAGCTAGTCTATTGGTCTCCACACATGCACTGCTCAACGTTAAGCAATTTTCCTATTAATAAATTCCAAGGTGTCAAGAAAAAAGATTGAAAAATCCATTTTAATATTTTTCAACGATTATTCTTCAATAACAGTAAACATTTAATGTTTTTTTTTTAAATATTAAGTAAGATATATATGTTTTTAAAGAATACGTGTGTGTTTTTCCTACCTAAAACATTTGCATTCACGATTGCCAAATATTTTGAACTGGAAACCTTTGTGAGTAATTAAGACATTAACGTAGATGCTTTGCAGCTAACAAAAAAAACTCACTACATTAATAACACCGTGGCCTTGAAAGGAAAAGTATATAATGTGTAACGTTTCAGGCAACAGCCCTTCATCATAGTACATTAAAAACCTCTATGTGCTACGAAGGTTCATTGCCTGACACGTCAATATATTATTTTCCTTTGAAGGCTACAATGTTATAAATGTTTGTTATTTAATGTTTATTTTTTTGTTATGTGTGCTCGTGCACCACCACTGCCATCGCAGTATCACGAAATAAATCGTCTCATAACAGTTACAACCGTGTCGAGCTGTAAGCGATGAAGGTGCAACGGTCCACTGTGGTGATACGTCCGTGTTAAAAACGTCTCAATCGCGTCGCCGCATGATTTTGTGCGTAAACTCTTGCGGGAAAATAAAGAGACCCGTGCTGTGGAAACAAAGTCCCCTACTGCGTGCCTCGTTAGCGAATTTAGAATAAGGGTTTGGGATTTGCTGTTGCATTTGGCGCCGACATGTCGCGACATTTTTAAAGCGCCTTACCATAAAAAAACGATCCTCAAGAATTAACCTTTCCTCCGGGTTTTCAAGACGCACAGTTTCTCCCCTTTAAAAACAAACAGCCGGTGGTGCGTCTCATACTCCGATTGGTGCGATTTGTGTGTGTTTGACCCTATTTTTATAAATTGTATTGATAACGTTGGGGTTGCGTCTTACATTTATAAGCATCAATCGCAGTCCGAGTGGCGGTCCGCAGTTCCAGGTTGAGGAGTAAACAAACTCTGCCCCTGGTTTTCCAGTCTCGGGTCATAATGCGTGCAAGTGGACTCATTTACAAAATGGAATGTGTTGGCAGCAGCTTCATCATCACCATCATCAGCGCTTTCTCACACATAGAGATCCACAATTTCACACAGAGTTCCACAGACTCACACAGATCCACAGACTCACACAGAGATTCGCAGAATCACATAGATAACCACAGACTCACACAGAGATCTACAGAATCACACAGAGATCCACAGACTCACACAGAGATCCACATACTCGCATAGAGATCCACAGACTCACACAGAGATCCACAGACCCAGAGATCCATATACAGTACTTACAAAGTGACAGAGAGAGATTCACATAGAGACACATTGGGAAACTGGAATGCGCTGACAGTGGATTCATCACTAGCAGAGTTTTTTTTATATTTTATTTATACCCAGGTCTCTCTTCAATAAAATCCTTCTGGTCTCAAAAGGCTCTCCCATGGCCATGCAAAGGAGTCAGTTTGTTACTCAGTGTCTATCAAGGGTAAGATGTTCGCGTATCAATTTAAAACTTCGTTTGTCAACTTTCTTAAAACGACTCGGCTTTCTCAGGAGCCCACGGTGTAAACAAAGTGACCTTTAACCCGCAAGGAACTTTATCCCCCCCCCCTCTATTCTGCAGAAGTGTCATTGCCCAAAACATCAGACAGTTGTATATTTATTTATGTTACAAGGCAGTGTTAATTATGAAAGTGATTCGTTTTTTCATTGTTCGTTTGTCCTTGTGCACCATCTCTTGATTTTTTTTTAGTTAATCGACACTGCGTCTTTATTTACATCATCATTTTCAAACACGCACGCAGAACTTGACCCCCCCCCGGGCGATGCGCTTTGTGTCTCTATTACAGGGGAGGGGGGCGAAGGACGCTCATTTACAAGCGAAACATGCGTGGGGATCGGTGCATTGTTTAACGAGCAGTGAGGTCGCGTGCCACGCCGTTGACGATGATAAATCAGCACTTGGACAGCTCTC